ATGTTAGCATGTCCCTTGGCACGTAGCTATATATTGTGTCCATAAAATATATATTGAATAACTGACAAAGGAGAATTCAATATCATGCCACAACCCTATCAAATAGCAAGAATTACAGTCATTTAAATAACTGTCAATGGTCATTTTTAAATAATAGTAACCATTTAAGAATTTCTTCAAATGACAATGTATCTTCTTTAATAATCATGCAATAACAGATAACAAATCAGCTGGAACTCCAAGCACAGCCTCATCAAAATGTGGGGTTTCAATACAATATTCATCTTTTCATCATCTGTGAAATGTCAATGTTTTATACATGTAATCAAAACCCTTCCTACAAATGGTGTTTTTTTCTTTGAAGTGAAGAAGACAGAGAGTCTAGGGAGGATAAAGTGTAAAAGAAATGGTGTTCATCCTGGCTGGATGGCTCAGTTCATTGGAGCATCGTCCCATACACCAAAAGGTTGCAGGTTCAATTCCTGGTCAGCTCACACACCTAGGTTGTGGGTTCAAATCCCCTGTGGGGGCATGCAGGAGTCAACTAATGGACCTTTCTCACATCAATGTTTCTTGCTCTCTCTCTCCCTTCTTCTCTCTCTAAAATCAATAAAAACATATCCTCGGGTGAGGATTAAAAAACTTTCAAAATCTACACTAATAAGAGAGAAAGATGCAAGTTGGCCGTACCTTTGCGACACCCACCAGCCAATCAGGAGTGAGCATGCAAATTTACCCAACAAAGATGGCAGATTAATTTGCATACAGAGGCGCCAAGTGGCTGGGAGCGGGGCGGGATGCAGGCGTTCCACACTGCCCCAGCCTCTCCAAGCCTCTGGGCAGTGTAGGAAGGCGGAAAGGCGGCTCTGGGACTGAACAAAGGCAGAAAGGTGGCTCCGGCCAGAGCGAAGGCAGTGCCGGCAGCCAGGGGAAGGAAGGCCCATTCTTGCACGAATCTTCATGCATCGGGCCTCTAGTAAATAAATAAAAGAAATGGTGTTCAAGGTCTCTGGAGGGGAAGGAGTGTTAAGGTGTGAAGAGGCATCTATGATTTTTTACTATAAATGAACAACATGCAAATTATATGCAAACCAGAGTCTATTATTTCCAGTAAACATCCTATAAAAGTGCTTTCTCTAATAGGACTGCTGTAGCAAAATGACAACAACAGTACTCATAATGCATGCAAAATGTGATCAATATGAAACTTTTTTCAGTGGGACTTGGGGAATGAGACATTCCCTAAAATGAAGTGAAACAAATGAAAGGCAAAATGCATCAATTCTCCTAAGTAACATGTGGGCCTGAGTTTGTGAACAGTTCACTGCAGAGCTGAGGTGCCCTGTACTGTTCATCTCGGGGCCACATGCACAGGACAGCAGGCCTCCTTGCCATGGTGCACCAGCGTTTCCTCCCCGGCCCGGCACAGAGAGGGCGCCTGGCGACGGTGGCCCTGGCCCTGGCCTTCCGCTGGGCTTGTCAGCAGTGGGGCCACGCGGTACCAGCTCTGAGGCCCTGCGCTGCTGAGGGTGGACAGCTCATTTCCTGTGGAAGATTGTGCAGTGTCCACGCTCAAATCACCATCAACCTGGCTGGATTTTGACAAAACCTAGACATCTCCAAAGTCAGCCTTTCAGAGAGCACGCTGCTTGGGTGAGCCATCCTTTGAAGGACGTGTTTGTTAGACGAGTCTAACATAAAGAGTTTCCACTTGGTATTTGACCTGACTGGACCTTAGGTGACACACAAAAGCCCGAGATTACTTTTCCCAAAGGAAAATACAAAGCTCAGTTCAAGAGATAATGTGTCATAGTTACAATTTAAACAAAAATATTTGGATTGTGCGTGCTTTTAAACATGTCCCTGTGAAACTAGAAATGTAGACAAAACTTTATTATGCTGATTTGACAGAGAGAGAGGCTGTCTGTCCCTGCAGCGCTGCTGACAGGACTGATGTCAGTTCTTTCAGCAGCTAGCCAATTCAGCTCGACAATAAGTCATTTCAGTAAATGCCTGGTCTCATTATCTCGTTTTCAATGAATTAACTGCTTGCTTGATGAAAATGCTCCAAGGGGTTTGATATTTTAACATTAGTAGATATAAGTCAAAAGTATTTGACAATATTTTATTTTATTATTTTATAGAGGAAGGGAGAGGGAGAGGTAGAAACATCAATGATGACAGAGAATCATTGATCGGCTGTCTCCTGCAGGCCCCCTACTGGGGAATCAAGCCTGCAACCGGGCATGTGCCCTGACCAGGAATGGAACCATGACCTCCTAGTTCCTGGGTCGATGCTCAACCACTGAGCCACACCAGCTGGACACTGACAACTTTTTAAAAAGGAGAAAGAGAAATAAAATCTGCCTAGCCGATAGTTTAGGTGCCTCTGTAGGTAAAATCCACCACCACAACTTTCCACAAAAAGGTTTGAAAGCTTTCCCACCCTTTACTTCAACTGCACTACAGAGCAAAATGCCTGGGGATATACACTGCAGAGCAAACCGTTCTCGGCCACAACTCCAGCTCCTACCTTGGCACATAAACTAGGGTCTTCTTCCTCCCTTCCTTCCATTCCTGTCAGTGTCCCCGCCCAGGCAAGAGAAGTGACCCACACAGACAGTGTGATTGGGACGCTGAGGAAGCAGGACCTGAGTGGCAGGGTGCAGCCGCTGTCTGTCTCTTCCTCTGTCTCTCTGTTGCTCAGAATGGCCTGAGCTCAGGACAAACACATTCTTTCTCCAACATGCCCTCATGAGGGAGACTTACAGGCCATGAGGGTCCAGCTCTGCCAGCAACAGATGGATGAACTCAGTCCAGGGACAAGGAATTAGGAAACCCACTTGGCCACAGAGCTATGCAGTGACCCTTTTTAAAAAATATATTTTTTTATTGATTTCAGACAGGAAGGGAGAGGGAGAGATAGATGGAAACATCAATGATGAGAAAGAATCATTGATCGGCTGCCTCCTGCATGCCCCCTATTGGGGATTAAGCCTGCAACCCGGGCATGTGCCCTTGACCAGCATCAACTCCGGGACCCTTCAGTCCACAGGCCAATGCTCTATCCACTGAGCAAAACCGGCTAGGGCTGCAGTGACCCTTAATCAGGTTTCTGTTGGTTGCAAACTCAGAAGGGAAAGAGAGGAATGTAATAACCAGAAAATGCAATACTTTGAACTCTAATTGTCTATTGTAGTTAATATTTTGACGCTTCATTTGACTTTCTAATTTGGCATCAGATTAATACTAAATGCAGGTGAAGCTTTGAATGTCTTATCTGCAAATATTGACATGTTGGTGAACATTCAACAACCAGCTTTCTGGGAAGAATAAGTGCTGGTTTCTAGTAGTTAGTCATTTCTATGGTGTAAATATTGCAACTGTGGCCAATTCCAAGTCCCCAATGTGAAGGATGTCACTGTCGCCCAGTGGGGAAGAGAGGCGCACAGTGGGGTCCCAGCTCTAACTGGCCATTGCACCCCATCATCTATAAAGGAGGCAGGATTTCTGTTAGTTCCTGAAAATTAGATTCCAAGGAGTATTGTGCCACTTTTATAGACACACTACTATTTTATCATCTATTGAAACCAAAAGGTGACTACAACACTTATTATCCAGCTACCTGTGAAAGAAGAAGAATCACCCAGTTCAACATCCAGTTCAAGTTAAATGCCATTAGCTGAATCATCCCTCCCTTCTTCCCTCCTTTTTTTTCTTTTTACCTTCTCTCTTCTTTCTTCTACAAATCAGACTGGCTGTCTGCAGTGGCAGGAGAAACAACCCTTATATATAATCTATAGGCTGTTAAAAAACAAAATTCAACTGAATACATTTTAAAGGTCTTGTTGACTTCATTCAGTGATTCATAAATCAAGCAGCATCCAATCTAGCAGGTAGGAAGGAGCTTCAGGGAGCTGTACAAAATGAAAGATATTGGCAGAGGAGAGTAGGAACAAGGAAGTTATTTTAGGCAAAAAGCAGATTGGTTATTTGGGGAATAACAGGGGCCTATTAGGCCCTTCCTGACTGGTTGGTTGAAGATTCCATTACTGGGAGAACTGAAACTGTAATTAAGTTAAATCTTGGTTTGGTAACATAGGACTTAGCATAAGTGACTCTATTTGGGTATAGTTGCCTTGTTGTTGTTTTCTGGGTTTCGGTTTTATTTTTTTGTTGTTTTTAATCCTCACCCTAAGATATTTTTCCATTGATATTTTTAGAGAGAGTGGAAGGGAAGGGAGAGACACAGAGAGAGAAACATTGATGTAAAAGAGACACATCGATTGGCTGCCTCCCACAGGAGCCCCTACCAGGGCCGGGATCGCCAGGGATTGAGCCTGCAACCAAGGTACATGCCCTTTGACTGGAGTCAAACCCAGGACCGGTTAGTCCGTGGACTGATGCTCTATCCACTGAGCCAAACCAAACAGGGCTGTTGCCTTGTCTTTTAATAATGCTAACAACCTCTGATTCCCTTGTGAGCTCCAGATCCAAATAGCCAACCATGTGCTGTATCCAATCAGTCACTGAATCCCATTGAATCCATTTTCAAATGCTTCTCCTTCTCTCCCCCTCCAATGCTTACAATCCTAGTGAGTAACCTAATCAAATTATGGTACCATCCCACATAAAGCCCCTGAGTACTGCCCATTGTGCTAATGATGACATCCCACTCTAGACCAATTAAACCACAACCTCAGGGGACTGAGCCCTGGCCTGAATGTTTAAAAAAATAATAATTCTGCCTGGCCAGTGTGCCTCAGTGGTTGAGTGTTGTCCTATGAACTAGGAGGTCATGGTTTGATTCCTGGTCAGGGCACATGCCTGGGCTGTGGACTCAATCCCCAGTAGGGAGCGGGCAGGAGGCAGCCAATCAATGATTCTCTCTCATCATTGATGCTTCTATCTCTCTCTCCCTCTCCCTTCCTCTCTGAAATAATAATAATAATTCCTGTGTAACTCTAATATGCAGCTATCATTGAAAAGTATTAGCCTACCTTGTTGAAAGTCCAAGTAAAACTCCTCTCATCGGTGGAAGGACCTTGGCGGTCCACGCAGGGGCACTTCAGTGGCCGGTGGGGCTGAAGCCTGACGGGAAGGAGTCCAAGAGTGAATGAAAGTGAGGACGTGGGGACCAAATATGGAGGAAACTTTCCCCAGAAACGTGGCTGAGGAGATCAGAGCTACTGAATGGTAACTAGAGGTGAGTTTGGTTTTTTTTTTTTTTTTTACCTTTGGCTGTTTTCACCAGTACACCATCAGTTGAATTTTTCATTAAATATAAGATTTTGGAAAAGTCAACTGCCGGGTAGAAGGCAGTGTGGCACAGCGGGAAAGCCGTGCCAGAAGCTCTCCGGCTCAGCCACTTCCTAACTATGGACAAATTATAAGCTACCTGAGCCTCAGCTTTCTTCTCTTTAAAATAATGATAACACGTAGCTCACAAAAGATTGTCATATTTCATGAAATGATTTATACAAAGAATGTAAGACTGCACGCGGCAGTTCCCAAGTTCTCCCGTAGTCCTCTAGCGCCCCCAAGTGGCGTCCTGGATGGCCGGGCGCCCCTGCTCTGCAGCCCATCACACAGCGCTCCTGGGCGGCCGAATAGATTTTGGTCTTTTCCTGCGCCTCTCCTCTGCCACCAAACTTCACAATCTCTTATACGTCGCTTTACTCTCCAATCTTAGTCTGGCTGGAGATACTTGAGCTGGATAAACTGATGCCAAAGATGACATACATCAGCATCGCAGATTTCAGGAGTGCGTGGCACATGGGATATTCCAAACCTTAATATAAGGGTTGATGAACAGGCAAATGTCAAACACCAAGACCAGAAAGAGATGGTTACTAAACTGAGGGAACTGCTAAGCACTTCCAAAATTATACCAGGAAGTGGTGTCCCGAGCTCCTAGATCTATCTCACATTTCCTGACAAATTATCCTCTTCTCTCTCTCTCTCTCTCTCTGTGTGTGTGTGTGTGTGTGTGTGTGTGTGTGTGTGTGTATAGATAGATAGATAGATAATAGATAGATTAGATAGAGATAGAGATGTAGATATAGATTTCAGACAGAAACGAAGAAAGAGAGAGAAAGAAACATCAATGATGAGAATCATTGATCAGCTGCTTCCTGCATGCCCCCCACTGGTTCTCAACCTTCCTAATGCCGCGACCCTTTAATACAGTTCCGCATGTTGTGGTGACCCAACCATAAAATTATTTTCATTGCTACTTCATAACTGTAATTTTGCTACTGTTATGAATCATAATGTAAAAATCTGATATGCAGGATGTATTTTCATTGTTCGTGACCCACAGTTTGAGAACCGCTGATAAAGGCTCTTCTCCTGCTCCCACCCTACCCTCCTTCACCTGGCAGAACTCTTTGCCAGTGCCACACCCACACCCCTGGGGGTGGGGAGCTGTCAGGACCAGGGAGTATAATATATTCTCACACTCTTTCCTTCCGATGCAGAGATTACAAAATAATTTTCTGCCTGGGAATCTGTCGATGCTTCAAAGTAGAGAAAGATATTCACTATTTTTATGGGGAGGAGAGGCAACATTTTTCCTTTTCATTTTTAATTGAAATGTTTGAGGAAAATTGTAGATGCACATTTAGTTGTAAGAAATATCCCTTGTACAGTTTCTACCAATGGTAACATTTTGGAAAACTATAATGTAGTTTAATATTCCAACCCGTATATTGACATTGACACCATCCACCTATCTTATTCATATCAGATTTCCTGTTTTACTTGTACTCATTCATGTGTGTATATATGTGTGTGTGTATCTGTGCATCAAGTTCTGCACAATTTTATCACCTGTGTGGGTTTGCATATCCACCATCATAGTAAAGATAATGAACAGTTCCAATAGCACAAGGATCCTGCATGTTGTCCTTTTATAACCACACATACCTTCTTTCCCCCTTCCCCAATCCCTAAAAAATCCCCCCAGAACCTAGCAATCACTAACCTGTTCTCCATTTGTAAAATTTTGCCTTTCGTAAATGTTATATAAATGGATCACACAGCATGTCACCTTTGGGGATTGGCTTTTTGGCTCAGCAAAATTCCCTTGAGATGCAACGAGCTATTACATGTTTCAACAGCTCGATTATTGTTTAGTAATATTCCATGGTGTATGTATTGCATTTTGTTTAACTAGTCACCTATTGAAGGACATCTGGATTGACTCTAGTTTTTAGATCCAACAAATAAAACTGCCATGAACATTCATGCCCAGTATTTGAGTGAACCTGTTTTCATTTTTCTGGGGTAAATGCCCAAGAGTACAGTTGCTGGGTTGAATAGTAATTGCATGTTTAGTTTTTTAAAAACTGCCAAACTGCTTTCCAGAGTGACTGTGTCATTTACCTTCCCACTGTTAATGTATGTGTGATCCACATTTTTACTTTCAGATGCCCTTTTTGTCCTTGTATAGCCAAGATGCACTAATCAGAAGGTAGGCGGCTCCTTCAGGCCTTCATTCATGAAATTCCCTATCAAACTCTGCAATCAGGAGCATGAACAAAAGGAAATGGCTCCTCTTCTGGAGAATAATAGCGGCTATTAATTGAGTGCTTACTGTATGCCAGGCCTTCCTATGTGCAAGTCCATTAATCACTCACAACAGCTTTATGGGTAGGTTCTATTATCATCCCCAGTTTGGAAGCTGAGGCTTAGAAATGCTGGGCCTTGTTCATGGTTATACAGCCAGTCCAGTGGCAGAGTTAGGATTTGAACCGAGGTCTAACCACCACATTATACTGCCTCCCGTGTGATAACGAGAGAAACAACTCTGTCTTCAGAAGCAGTTGTGCAGTTTACATTGTAGTTAGGACAATGTATTTCTTTTTAAATATAAACATAGATTTTACCATCTCTGGGAATTAAAGTATATCTTCTCTTTCTCTCTCTCTCTCTCTCTCTCTCTCTCTCTCTCACACACACACACACACACACACACACACACACGCACACAGCCCCAGCTGATGTCTATTGCCCTCCCCTCTCTCACTGCAACATCTCAGGCAACAGAAAATTAATACAGCATTCTGGTCCTCCTCTGCAATGTAGTGGGAACAATGGCATATCCTAGTCAGTATGGGAAAGAAATCAAGGATTTACCCATAATACATCCAAGTAAGTATAAAGTCTCGGCAACTACTTTCTCTGTTAAGCATAAGCACTAGGAAAAGAAATGATATGATGATTATGCAAACATACTACAGAAAAAAAATTAAAGGGGCGGGGGGCAGATAAGAACAAGCACATAAAAGACAGGTGAAGGACCCAGTCTGAAAGAATATATGACTCAACAATTAGAAAAGAATTCCTTGCCACTGTTTTATATTATATAAAAACTTAATGGGATCTCAAAGACAAAATGGTAAAACAACAGAGGTAAAAGGGAAACAGCTGAGCAAAGACCACACTTGGGACTAAAACCACCACCACCAGAGAACTGATAAATGAGAAACATCGAAGATCAAATAGGCTGAATTGCAATACTGGCAGAGAAGGGAAGCCTACTACTGTCACTGCACATTTAGAAAAAAGAAGAAAGGATTGGACAATTAGAGAGGAAGTAACATAAAAGAGAGACAAGGATAACTGGTGTCTCTGAAGTGGAGAACCAGAAAAAAATAAAACAGAAAAGAGTATTTTTAAAAGCAAATTTCCCCCAAATTAACAAAGAAATATCTTTGTATGTAAAATAGGCAGTTCATGTTCCAGGAAAAACTGATAATTAAAACGGATACATAGCCAGGGTAGGTTAATTACCTCTGGGAATTAAAAGGAAGAGTAAGAGGAATCAAGGTAAAAAATAAAAGAAATTACCTCCATGGGAGAATTAAGTTAGACGGGCTTAGAATTCTCCGTGGCAATCAATGCCAGAAAGTAATGAAGCTTTGTTTACAACTTCCCAAGGGAAAGAAAGTGTGACTTAAGAACATGGGCAGTTTTGTTGTTTGAGAATAAAGGCAACAGGCACACATTCTCAAACATGCAAAGCCTTAGCAGAAGCAGCCCTTCTCGGGAAAAACTACCAGAGACCAAGTCAAGCTTCACAGGGAATGAGTGTTCTCACCGGGGGAAAGCACTGGTGTTATCTTCAGTACTAAAAGGAGGCGTGCAGGTCGCCGGCAGTTCAGGATTCAGACTACTCGAGTGTCCATCTTGCCTCTGCCTAGTCTCATTTTGGGCCTCAAACGAATGATTTAACCTGCCTTGGTCCCCTTACCGGTAAGATGAGGATGAGTGTTGTGGGCACCGAATGAAATAACCCCTGTGAAGTTCTTAGCACAATGCCCAGCATTAGATACTACGATTAAAAAATAGTAAAATGTACAGTTATAAGAACATAATAGCTCCAAGTTTTTAAGGCTTTATAACCCCTCCCCCCTTATTCTTAGAAACCATTACCTCTGTGGTAAAGAAGTTTTTACAACATTGAACTCTCTGGAAAATGGCCAAGAACCTGGTAACAGAAACGCCTCTGGGGAAGGACGGTGGGTAGATGGGAGGCAGAGAGAGGGCGGAATCATCACTACCTTTTCACCAACATGTTTTTAAAATATGTACAATGTGAATATATTACCAATGTTTTTTAAAAAGCAAGAAAAATTAAAGAATCCATAATACCTTCATTTTTTTATTGGTTTCTTTTTCTTCCTTTAACATTCAAGTAGAATTAAATGTAATACTTTAATGAAAAATTAGTATGCACAATATAGTCCCAGTTTTTCAGACATGTTCCTAGACAGACAGACAGCCTGCCATCTGTATATATGCAAAGCAAGAGGTGAAAATTGGTACCAGACGTTAACGATGATTATTTCCTAAGTGATGACATTTGGGGCATTTTCTTCTTATTCACATTTCTCAGAATGCTTGAATTTTTCATTAAGTTTATATTATTTTTAAAGAGTCATTGTTCTAAATAAATAAAGAAACATTGTTACCTCAGTTGACAAGGAAGAACAAGGGGTTTGCCCTCACCTCACAAGGGCCTGGGCTCTGAGTGAAAGGTCGCCCCGGAGGGGCCTGACGAAGCGCTGGTGTCTGAGTGCTGCACG